GGGGGGGGGGGGGGGGGGGGGGGGGGGCAGGGGGGTCCCAAGCTCCTCCCCCCAAACAAAAATTTGTATTTGACAATACCTGTGACATAGAGCGCACATATTAGAGACCTTTAGCATCAGGTTTTTCATGGAAAACCGCAAACCACAAACCGCAGAATGTCACGTGACCACTGCCTTGCAGTCACGTTTGCAGTTTGTAGTTCACGTTTGAACTGCAGGAGAAGCTTCTAGCGGTAAGTGATTTATGGCAAGGTTTTTTTTTTTCTTTGTGACTAGGAAGCCCAGGCTTCATAAGCCTTCTGGTGTTTTCTGGCCTCCCTTGCCAACTTACAATTCCTATATGTATTCTTGTGTTGTATTATATTTTGGCTAAATAAAAATGAACTGAACTGAACTGAACGCCTTGCTAAAATCTGAAATCTCGGCAACGTGAAACTTCAAATGCATAACTGCGAACTGCGGTTTGCGGTTTCTCATGAAAAACCTAATGCTAAAGGTCTTTTTTCTGCCCTCAGACAACTCCAGAACCACCTAAGAAACACCATGAAGCAGGGCCACCTAAACAACAGCCTAGTCACAAATCGATTATGGAAACACTAGACACTTTGAAGAGAGGTTTGATTGTGCCAAAGAACAATGCAAAGGGCACTTTGGAAAATATGAGTAGGGGTATGTGAATGGAAGATGAGCCACCCTGCCCCACGTTTCAAAACGCTCTGCAGCCTCTGCAAGGACAATGTATAGTTCTTGTCATGTTGTCATGGGGAGAAATGGTATTTTAAACAATTAAGACGTGGTTGACTGATGCGCGAAAAACTGTCATCAATTACGTCTGCCTGAGTACTAACTACTTCATATAGTTATTAAAATGTAATAATATACATAAAAACAACAACAATATCGTTCACCGACAAAAGGAATAAAAACTTACCCTTAAGAGGAACGTCATCAACTTCAACGCACAATTCAATAACCTGAGTTAGCACTGCTCCGCAGCGTGCTATGTCGCGAAGCTCCGCAAGTAAGCTAGCGAGATTGTTTAAAATAAGTAGCTGAGTCTTTTTATCACCAAGTTCTTGGAAAATTTCAGCAGCCTGCTGATAAAATTCAGCGGCTTTTTTAATTTCACCGCGATTCGTACAATCATTGCCCAGTTTAAGGAGAGTTTCCCCTCGCATTTCTTCATTTCCTTGCGTCTTATATTCCTCTGCGGCGATTTCATAGTATTTTACAGCCTCGTCTACCTCACCAAGAGCATCATACGCTGTTGCTAAATTGTATTGCAAATCCGCATAGTTTGTGACGCCATCTGATTCCTTTTCTGGAGGAAAAGCTTTGAGCAAAAATTCGACACCTCGTTTAGCATCACCCCGCGCGACGTAACATGCTCCTAAGTTGAAATAGCACGCTCTTTCAGTAAAGCCCTCCTTGAGATCCTCCGCAAGTTGGACAGCCTTTTCAAACGAACTACAGGCCTCTTCGATGTTTCCTTTGGCAAGTTCTTCGTGGCCTTGTCTCGTCGCTCCGTCAATCTCGTCTGAAATCATCTTAGATTTGTTCATTTTTAAGTAGACATCTTAAAATCAACTCAAAAGACAGATTTATAGACTTGGATCGATAAAGACCAATGGGATACCAGTACTACGGCAACACATGGAGAAGAAATTAATAAAAGTCGCACCCCCTTAAAAGATTAAAATCGTTCTTGAGCGTGAAGAAATCTATGCAAGCTTGCTCAAAGGTGAAAGAACAAATCTCCAGATAGTGTTCCATCCATGATCCAATTTCTTTGAGCTCTGACAAGAACTTTGTTTTGTTGAAACTGGTTGTGAAGTGACGTTGCCTCATCGCCGGCTCAACTCATCCCCACAGAGTCATGCGCGTGGCTTTGCCTCGTTGTCGAACACGTCACCTTTCTTTCCTCTTTTCTTTCTTTCTTCGATATCCGGCAAGACAAACGGTATTAGGAGCAAATTACTGCAGAAATGAAAGTGGTATGTTGAATTTCCTGATCGTATATCTATCTGTATGTGAGGCCATCAAAGAAAATGTAATCTGAGTTTTCATTTTAATCACCGATCCGGGAAGAATTGTGAATTTTTTAGATAATAGGATTTCAAGGTCTGCTCACGTGTTGCTTTGTTTATGCTGGTTTATGAACACTGAAGTAGACACGTAAAGGGTATAAATTATCTCTGATTCAAGACACGTGCAGCACAGGTCTCGAAAACCTCCCTACTTCCAAACTACAGTAACTGGATGTTAAAAAAATAAGTAAATATAATTGAAAACATAAGATGATCGTAGGGAGTCTAACTTCTTGCACTCTGTAAGATCTTTGAGTGCAAGCTCGTGCCATTCTCTTGATTGTCATTAAATTGATTTGTCTTTTGTTTTGTTTTTGTTTTTGTTTAACTAAGCAATCTTCTCTGGTGTAAGTGAGACTCATCAAGGAAAAGGGAAAGGCTCTCCTGGAAAAGTTATATGGCAATGGGCTTCATGCTTCCTGAAACATTTGCACTGTTTCAGACCAAAATTTGTGATTTTCCAGCATACCCTATTTCAGACCTGAACTGTTTTTCTTAAGAGACAAAATAAAAAACACACTCAATTCCAGACCCTATAGACTACAAGCAGTCTCTTTTTTTGGTTAGTCTGTCAAGCAAAACACGCGAGACACAAAAATGACCACTCTTGTGATAGAAGGCGTAGAGAGAGAGAGAGAAGGAGAGAGAGCATGCAGTCTGCAGACTCTAGGTCACAAAACCTTACCATACCCTTTTGTGTTATAAATAAGGTATACATGTAGCAATTTTAAGGAACTATCCCCCTTCCCAACTCCCGAGACTTTTTCATCACTGGAGTCAATTGTTCAGCCAATTCCAAGCATGCCCATTTCCAACCCCTTGCCTTTGCTGGAAATTTGTGTGCATTTGTCATTTTTTCTTTTCTTTAGAAAGTTGGAAATACCCCACATTATCTGTGCATGTTAAGTCTTAAACAGTATACTCAGTGGTTCGTTTACCTGGGCAGTAAAGGGCTTAGGTCTACATATCGGTGGCTCTTATATCTCAGCAGAGGGTAGATAAGTCTGCTTATTTTTCCTTTCAGTTAGTAATCACACCGTGATAGGCTAGTTTAGCAGGCTGTATTTCACTGTATGAGCAATAAATTTGAATTTTAGTTGGTTGCAATTTGTGTGTTAAGAGATAAACAAGTGTTTTGGATAATTCAGAGTCACAATTTTGGATGCTTGTGTTTAGCATTTGATGTACATCAGTCATCAACAGCTTTCCTCCCTGAATTGAAATTTTCTATGCCCTTCTAGTCTCTTTTTAAACCCTGAGATATAATAAACATCTTACTAATGTTGTTTTCACAATGCACACCGTAAATTACAGACCCTTGTTTACAGCACAGACCTCAAACTTGAGTAGTATGAGGTTTATATCTGGTTGCTTGTCTGGCTTGACAGTGCATTCAGGAAAGCCACATCTTTTGTTAGTTGGTTAAAAGTGACCAAGCATTCTGTTGTTTAACCACTTTTTGCTTAGTTCTGATTGTTTTTTTTTCCAGGTTTTACTTTGCTTTCTTATTGGAGCCTTTGTAGGATTTTCCCTTAGTGCTGAAGGAGATTCAAGTGCCAGGCTTCTTGTCTCAAAAAATATTCTGAACCAGTATGTTGTGGAGGGAAAAGAGTTAACAGTCCATTATAACATCTTCAATGTTGGAAGTGGGTAAGTTTAACATACACTAAGATGATCTCCCTAACAACTAATGTACAGTTACATTAAATGCATGTAATTTTTTTGACATAATTAGTAATAATAATTTATTTATCATTATACAATTTTCACTTACAATCTGTTTGTTCTGTTAGTTAATTTCTTTTTTTTTTTCTGCCACATCTGCGAAGTCACCGAGCGGGGGGGGGGGGGGGGGGGGTGGGGTAGGGGGGTCCCAAGCTCCTCCCCCCAAACAAAAATTTGTATTTGACAATACCTGTGACATAGAGCGCACATATTAGAGACCTTTAGCATCAGGTTTTTCATGGAAAACCGCAAACCACAAACCGCAGAATGTCACGTGACCACTGCCTTGCAGTCACGTTTGCAGTTTGTAGTTCACGTTTGAACTGCAGGAGAAGCTTCTAGCGGTAAGTGATTTATGGCAAGGTTTTTTTTTCTTTGTGACCAGGAAGCCCAGGCTTCATAAGCCTTCTGGTGTTTTCTGGCCTCCCTTGCCAACTTACAATTCCTATATGTATTCTTGTGTTGTATTATATTTTGGCTAAATAAAAATGAACTGAACTGAACTCAACGCCTTGCTAAAATCTGAAATCTCGGCAACGTGAAACTTCAAATGCATAACTGCGAACTGCGGTTTGCGGTTTCTCATGAAAAACCTGATGCTAAAGGTCTTTTTTCTGCCCTCAGACAACTCCAGAACTACCTAAGAAACACCATGAATCAGGGCCACCTAAACAACAGCCTAGTCACAAATCGATTATGGAAACACTAGACACTTTGAAGAGAGGTTTGATTGTGCCAAAGAACAATGCAAAGGGCATTTTGGAAAATCTGAGTAGGGGTATGTGGATGGAAGATGAGCCCCCACCCTGCCCCACGTTTCAAAACGCTCTGCAGCCTCTGCAAGGACAATGTATAGTTCTTGTCATGTTGTCATGGGGAGAAATGGTATTTTAAACAATTAAGACGATGTTAACTGATGCGCGAAAAACTGTCATCAATTACGTCTGCCTGAGTACTAACTACTTCATATAGTTATTAAAATGTAATAATATACATAAAAACAACAACAATATCGTTCACCGACAAAAGGAATAAAAACTTACCCTTAAGAGGAACGTCATCAACTTCAACGCACAATTCAATAACCTGAGTTAGCACTGCTCCGCAGCGTGCTATGTCGCGAAGCTCCGCAAGTAAGCTAGCGAGATTGTTTAAAATAAGTAGCTGAGTCTTTTTATCACCAAGTTCTTGGAAAATTTCAGCAGCCTGCTGATAAAATTCAGCGGCTTTTTTAATTTCACCGCGATTCGTACAATCATTGCCCAGTTTAAGGAGAGTTTCCCCTCGCATTTCTTCATTTCCTTGCGTCTTATATTCCTCTGCGGCGATTTCATAGTATTTTACAGCCTCGTCTACCTCACCAAGAGCATCATACGCTGTTGCTAAATTGTATTGCAAATCCGCATAGTTTGTGACGCCATCTGATTCCTTTTCTGGAGGAAAAGCTTTGAGCAAAAATTCGACACCTCGTTTAGCATCACCCCGCGCGACGTAACATGCTCCTAAGTTGAAATAGCACGCTCTTTCAGTAAAGCCCTCCTTGAGATCCTCCGCAAGTTGGACAGCCTTTTCAAACGAACTACAGGCCTCTTCGATGTTTCCTTTGGCAAGTTCTTCGTGGCCTTGTCTCGTCGCTCCGTCAATCTCGTCTGAAATCATCTTAGATTTGTTCATTTTTAAGTAGACATCTTAAAATCAACTCAAAAGACAGATTTATAGACTTGGATCGATAAAGACCAATGGGATACCAGTACTACGGCAACACATGGAGAAGAAATTAATAAAAGTCGCACCCCCTTAAAAGATTAAAATCGTTCTTGAGCGTGAAGAAATCTATGCAAGCTTGCTCAAAGGTGAAAGAACAAATCTCCAGATAGTGTTCCATCCATGATCCAATTTCTTTGAGCTCTGACAAGAACTTTGTTTTGTTGAAACTGGTTGTGAAGTGACGTTGCCTCATCGCCGGCTCAACTCATCCCCACAGAGTCATGCGCGTGGCTTTGCCTCGTTCTCGAACACGTCACCTTTCTTTCCTCTTTTCTTTCTTTCTTCGATATCCGGCAAGACAAACGGTATTAGGAGCAAATTACTGCAGAAATGAAAGTGGTATGTTGAATTTCCTGATCGTATATCTATCTGTATGTGAGGCCATCAAAGAAAATGTAATCTGAGTTTTCATTTTAATCACCGATCCGGGAAGAATTGTGAATTTTTTAGATAATAGGATTTCAAGGTCTGCTCACGTGTTGCTTTGTTTATGCTGGTTTATGAACACTGAAGTAGACACGTAAAGGGTATAAATTATCTCTGATTCAAGACACGTGCAGCACAGGTCTCGAAAACCTCCCTACTTCCAAACTACAGTAACTGGATGTTAAAAAAATAAGTAAATATAATTGAAAACATAAGATGATCGTAGAGAGTCTAACTTCTTGCACTCTGTAAGATCTTTGAGTGCAAGCTCGTGCCATTCTCTTGATTGTCATTAAATTGATTTGTCTTTTGTTTTGTTTTTGTTTTTGTTTAACTAAGCAATCTTCTCTGGTGTAAGTGAGACTCATCAAGGAAAAGGGAAAGGCTCTCCTGGAAAAGTTATATGGCAATGGGCTTCATGCTTCCTGAAACATTTGCACTGTTTCAGACCAAAATTTGTGATTTTCCAGCATACCCTATTTCAGACCTGAACTGTTTTTCTTAAGAGACAAAATAAAAAACACACTCAATTCCAGACCCTATAGACTACAAGCAGTCTCTTTTTTTGGTTAGTCTGTCAAGCAAAACACGCGAGACACAAAAATGACCACTCTTGTGATAGAAGGCGTAGAGAGAGAGAGAGAAGGAGAGAGAGCATGCAGTCTGCAGACTCTAGGTCACAAAACCTTACCATACCCTTTTGTGTTATAAATAAGGTATACATGTAGCAATTTTAAGGAACTATCCCCCTTCCCAACTCCCGAGACTTTTTCATCACTGGAGTCAATTGTTCAGCCAATTCCAAGCATGCCCATTTCCAACCCCTTGCCTTTGCTGGAAATTTGTGTGCATTTGTCATTTTTTCTTTTCTTTAGAAAGTTGGAAATACCCCACATTATCTGTGCATGTTAAGTCTTAAACAGTATACTCAGTGGTTCGTTTACCTGGGCAGTAAAGGGCTTAGGTCTACATATCGGTGGCTCTTATATCTCAGCAGAGGGTAGATAAGTCTGCTTATTTTTCCTTTCAGTTAGTAATCACACCGTGATAGGCTAGTTTAGCAGGCTGTATTTCACTGTATGAACAATAAATTTGAATTTTAGTTGGTTGCAATTTGTGTGTTAAGAGATAAACAAGTGTTTTGGATAATTCAGAGTCACAATTTTGGATGCTTGTGTTTAGCATTTGATGTACATCAGTCATCAACAGCTTTCCTCCCTGAATTGAAATTTTCTATGCCCTTCTAGTCTCTTTTTAAACCCTGAGATATAATAAACATCTTACTAATGTTGTTTTCACAATGCACACCGTAAATTACAGACCCTTGTTTACAGCACAGACCTCAAACTTGAGTAGTATGAGGTTTATATCTGGTTGCTTGTTTGGCTTGACAGTGCATTCAGGAAAGCCACATCTTTTGTTAGTTGGTTAAAAGTGACCAAGCATTCTGTTGTTTAACCACTTTTTACTTAGTTCTGATTGTTTTTTTTCCAGGTTTTACTTTGCTTTCTTATTGGAGCCTTTGTAGGATTTTCCCTTAGTGCTGAAGGAGATTCAAGTGCCAGGCTTCTTGTCTCAAAAAATATTCTGAACCAGTATGTTGTGGAGGGAAAAGAGTTAACAGTCCATTATAACATCTTCAATGTTGGAAGTGGGTAAGTTTAACATACACTAAGATGTTAAGATTTCATTCTGTGCTAAAATAGAGTGATTTTAGCTGCCAGTAAGTATAGTATTAAAACTTTGTGTATGACCATGGACAAATTTCCTGTTTTGTTGTTGCATGCAAATTTCTCTATCCCCTCACTTGTTGTATACAGCATCCGAGAGCCCTGTGGTAATGTAGGTAAAGTTGATGATAATTACGTTCACATTACCACATATGTTGGCATCTCAGGTAACAATAATTTATTATCTTTTTTTAAGGAAAACAAGGAAAAGCTTGCATCAGTTCCTTGCTCTTTTGCATATATCCCAGTGCTGTGAAAGAGTCCAGAAATCTGCCTGTAATACCCCAAATTGAAGAGCTTTTCCTTGACATAACTAAATGCACTTTAAAAGAAATTCAACTTACTTTACTTCTTTAATGCCATCCTGCCAGACAGACAAAGTACATCAGTTAAAATTCATTACTGAGGGGATGGGGGCTCTTGTAGGAGTGGAAAATTAATCCACCCATATCTCAAAGATGGGAACTTTTCCTTGGACTAACAACACTATCAAAGATAACTTTATCATTTTCGATTTCCCTTACTGTCCCTTCTAAACTTGCAGCACATTGTTAAATGGTATGCTTTGACTTTTTGTCACAATATTATTATTTGAATTACCAGTCCAGCCACATCAGTGTCTTTGGCAGACAATTCCTTTCCAGCAGATGAATTCAAGGTTCTTCATGGTCTGTTGTCCGTAAAATGGAAAGTTATTGCTCCGTATCCTTTTAATACTATAGTATTGTTTGTGGGTTCTTAACACCTCTAGAGTCAATTATGCAGAAAGAAATTTATAATTCACACTTTTGTGTCTGCAGAAGAAGTCCTATGATTTTAGCATTTAAATGAAAAGTCATTTGGCAGCAGTACTTTTTCACTTTACACCACTGTTTTGTGCTGGAATGATAGAAAATCAGATGGTGAATTTTGAGCCTGGGGAATACATGAGAAAGATGGTTTTTCAGTCAGTGACACAGGTGGCTCAGAAGAAAAAATCTGAGCACTCCTTCTTCATGACCATCTTTCTACTAGTCCAGATGCTCTACCACTGAGCTACAGAACACATTTGGGATCTTAGGCAACTACAGATGTAACTGCAGCTGTAGATTCATGTGACAAACATGCTGCATACTGCTAGGAGTAAAATCAGTCAATATGTGCTTATGCACAACAATAGAGATTGCTAGTCATAGCAGTATGCAGGATGTTTGTCACAGGATAGGATAGGATAGGATAAGTGCTTTATTATCAACAGAGCGCTACAGACACATGTGTTTACAACGATAACAAAGATTTTAGTGCAATAATTACAGAGGTGTACATTTGTAAAATTTATACAACTATTAAACAAGGTTATATTTAACGCGTCTATCTCTTTCACGGAAGCGATCATATACGTATTTAGCCACAATTTTTTGCGTTTTCTCTCCTTGCTTCATACTTATCAACGTTGTAAAGGCAGAGCTTGGAGTCATAGAGTCAAGAATAAGATTAGTTTCCTTTTTTAGCGTATTGAACAGCTCTCTCCTAGGATCCCTATAGGCTATTCAATTCATCAA